CCCGGCTGGTGACGTCACCTGGAAACTTCTGTAGCCGGAGCCCACAGGAATTGGAAGGAGGGGCCTCTGAAAAGGTGGGCACCCCACCCTTCGGGCCAGGCTGGGCCCTTGCCCCTCGCTGGTGTGGAGCCAGCCAGCCTGGCGTCTGGGATGATCCCGGCCACAATGAGGGCTTTGAGGGGCCCCTGCAGTGGGAGGGGACAGGTGGCCTGAATGGCAGCCTGTCCCCGAAGAGGCCCAAGGCTGGTCCCACCCAACCACAGTGCGGAGGCTTCTGCCCCCATTGCTGCCCACAGGCCCGAGGGCTTCTGTGCCACCCGCCCCCAGCCCAGCCCCTGGCTCCAGTGCCTGCCCACCCCAGGGTGCATTAGGCTGGCTGTGGAGTAAAGATCCCCAGCGAAGCTAGGCCCTGACCTCCGGTTACCCTCTTACTGCCATCCTGTCCCTAGTGGTGGGCGGCAGTCCACACCCACAGGCGAGCCTGCCTCCGTGGCCCTGGCACCCACGGGGTCAGCAAGGAGCAGGCAGAGCAGAGGTGGGAGTGGGTAGTGTAGGAGGAACCGAGAGCAGACCTGGTGGGGTTCAGGAAGGCTGGGGGACAGGGAGAGCATGTGTGTGCTGAGAATGGTGGCTGAGGACAGCTCTTCAGGACCTGGGCAGTGGGGAGTGAGGGGCCAGGGAGGGGGTCACCCACAGAGGGTGGCCCTGGGCCCAGGACCTGGGGAGCTGGTGCGGTGGGGGAGGCACAGGCTTTGGTTGAGGGCTGCTGGGGGGCAGGAGTGGGATGAGGGAGCACCCAACTGTGTGGCCAGGACTGGGTGGCCATGGCTCTTGGGGGCGGGAGAGGAGGTGGGGTGGGAGGTGGATGGGATGTGGGGTGTGAGAGGAGCAGGATCTGTCTCTAACTGCTGGGACCTCACCTGTGGCCTCTGCAGGGAATCCGGCCCCTCATCTCAGTTTGGACATCTCTGAACGGCTACCCCTTCATGCTCCCAGGGGTCAGCTGAGGACCCACTGCCTGTCTGGGAACCAACTGGACAGGCTGGGCCAGGGTAGCCCTGGTGGTGAAGGCAGAGACAATGAGCAGTTGGCACAGCTCTCCCTGGGGAATGGGAGGGGACCGCACTAGCTGGGCAGGGTCCGGGGTACAGGGTGATGATGTCATTTAGGGGCTACCTTTGTCCCCTGTTGCTCTGGGAAAGGATAATGGGGTGGGGGAGACCAGGAGGATTGGTAATCAGAGGAGCCAGCTCCCGAGGTGAAACCCCAGCCGGGTGGCTGCTGTGTCCCTCCAGGGGCTGGCTGGAGGGAAGGGGCACACAGGGAATGACTGCTAACCCTGGGGCCTCGGGACCCAGCAGCATGTCAGGGCAGGTAGGGGGAGCCCCTTGATAGTGGACTCTTTGCTGAGGTCACAGCGCTAGGAGGCTGGTGAAGGAGGTGGCGTGTCACAGCAGCCACAGCAGACGTGGATGAGGGCCTGTGGGCTGCTGGTGCCTCGCTGCCCTGTAGCCACCCCCAGGGCATCTGAGGTGGGGTGAGGGAGAAGGCACCGCACCTGGCTGACACTGGGCCACTCCCAGGTTGTCAGGTATGTGCTCCCAGGTAGCAGTCACCTGGCTGTGCCTTGGCCCGCCTGCCTGCCTGCCTGCCCCTTCCACGGTCCTGATCCCAGGAGCGGGACACTCCTGTTAACACTGGAGACTGGGCCTGGCCTCAGCACATCCTCTCTGGGACCTGGGCCCTCTGGAACCTGGGAGTCACCCCAAGTACCCTCCCTCCCACCATAGCCTGCAGGACCTTTGCCGGGGCTCCCAGTTCACAGAGGGGCTGCCTGTGCAGTCCCACAGCGCCCCCTGCTGGCCATACACATTCCTCTGGCCCCAGAGCCAACTAGGGTCTGGATCCTCCATGGTGCGGCCCCCACTGCTCCCCAGGCTGGAGGGGAGGCTGCCAGAGGTGAGGATTCCTTCCACACCAACCCCCCCCATAGCAGGGCCAGATTCCACAAGAGGGACCCAATATTCAAGCCCCTGGAACCCAGGCCCTGCTCTGCAGCCTACAGACCCTTAGCCATGTGGTCCCAGGCGCCCTGCCTGAGCCCCTCGCCCTCGCCCCTGCCTGGCCAGGCGAGGTCCTGCTGGGGTCAAGTCCACCATTCCTGCCCAATCACATCACTGTCCACCCCCACCAAAGCCAGGTGGTGGTCTACCCCTGAGCTGTGGGCACCCTGTGTACCCAGGAGAAAGTGGAGGCTGGGGTCTCTCCAAGGAGCTGTGTCCCTTGCTGAGTGCAAGACAAGGAGGAGGCCGGGTGGGGCCTCACAGAGGGGCATGGCTGCAGATGGGCTAGGGCAGTCCTCTGAGGGGTTCAGCTGAGCAGATGCCCCAGTGGAGGGAGGGAGCAAGAGGTTCCAGACTTGGGGTGTCGCCAGCGCAAGGTTCTAAGGTAGGACCTGCCTGGGAACTGCAGGAACCAGCTCAGCCTCTTGCTCTGGGGGGAAGGAGCAGTGAAGGGGCCAGGGAGCCCTAAGTGGGGGTCCCAGAGCAGAGCCAGTAAGGGCCATCCTGGTCTTGTCCCTCCCCAGGCCCCACAGTGTCCCTGGAAGTGGTCTAGGGAGGGCTGTGGCACAGCAGGAAGGCAGGGTTAGTGCCCCCTCAGACACCAAGGGCCAGGATGGGGCAGAGCCAGCTGCAAGGACACAGGCCCCTTTCCACTGTGAGGTGACTGTCCAGTTCCTCAGGACACCTACCAATGGCACTTGTAGGGGGCAAGGGACACCTGTGCCCAGAGCACTGGTGGGAGGGGGGGTGGCTTCCCAGTGACCCAGCCATGCGTGGGGGGACAGTGCCACCCAGTGGCCACATGTCCCGTCCTGTGGCTTTCCACAAGGACCTGAGATTCTCTGGGTTCCAGCAGGAAAGGGGGTCAGTTCTGCATCCTGGGCACAGGACCCAAGCGGACCTGACTCCACTGGGAGCTGGCCCTGGGCCACCCACCTGCCCTAGTCACTGGCACAGGTTGGGCTTCTGCCCCCCTCCTGGGAGTCACCTGGACCAACCCTCGTCCCCGAGGGAGCTCTGGCTGGGGCCTCCCTTCTGGGCCTCCATCGTCCACCCTGTCAGCACCTCCACCAGCACCAGGCCCCATTAGGCACCCCCCCCCGCCTGACCCCAGGTCATGGTGGCTCTCTCTCCTCCAACCCCTTCCCCACCCAAGGGGCTTCCACGCCCTCCCGGCTCATCAGTGACCCACACCCTTGGCCATCACTCCTCTGGTGTCGACCTCTCCCACTACCTGCTCTGCTACAATGGGCTGATCCAGCCACTGCCCCTAGGCCTATGCTGCAAGTTGTCCCCGCCGAGCCAACCAGTCTCCAAGTCCCTGTAGGAACTTGGGGATACCTGGCTTGGAACTGGAAGCTTTGTCCCACCACACAGATGGACACAGACACAAAGCTGAGATGCAGAGGGCGGGGAAAGCCAGAGGCAAGACTGCCCGAGTGGGGTGCAGCCCCTGCATGGGACCAGCCTGGTCTTCTCTCGGTGCATCTGAGCCCTGGGGGCTGGAGCAGAGGCTGTGGTCCGACTGTTCCACTGACCTGAGAACACGAGGGGGGTCTATGGGTCTCCCCACGAGCCACAGCCTCAATGCCACAGCCTCTCCTTTCTCAGTATTTCTGTTCCTCGCTGAGAAGCTGGCCTGGGTTTACACCTGGTGTTTTTCTCCAGCGTACCCCCAAAGACGGCTGCCTTGCCAGAGGGTCCTTAGTCTGTGGAACCCTTAACTGCTCACTCTGCGGGGGGGGAGGGGGGGAGGCATGTCCCACAGGTCGGGCCCTGAAACCACCTGGTTAAGATTTTAATTGAAGTTGCAGGCCTGAGGTGGGTGCCCTTGAGGTGTGCACGGGACGCCCTTGAGACAGTAGGATTGTCTGCCTCGGTTTCCCCGCAGAACTCGGGGGACCCCACATCTCACTGCTCTGGCAGGACTGAGCTGAATGGGGCAAACTCCATCTTAAAGTGTCCATACTTTTCAATGAGACAAATCCACACACTAGTTCTGGGCCTACCTTCAGTGGTTAATCACATTATAAAGAATGGTATCAAAATATACAAATCTGTTTAAGAACCAAAAATGCAGCTTTTGAAAGGGCCGAGTGAGCATCAACCGTCTGGAAGGCAGCTTCCCCCTCTGGCCTGGAGACACCGGCAAGTGCGCGGTCGGGCTGCCAGGGCTCAGTCTAAATAACTTAAAGGGCAGGTCTGGCTTCCACTGGACACACCTCACAAGTCTTCCCGGGAGGGCAGCTGAGCTGGGCTTTCCTCTGTGATGTCTGTCAGGAAACAAACAGATCATCCTGTAAAACACTGGACAAAAGGCCCTGAGGATGTGGCCACCAGGTCTTCCCTGCGACCATGGCAGTGTGTGCGGTGCCCATGGCCTTGGGAGTCGGCACTGTCCTCCCTCCAGACACAGTGGCCCCCCCGGCCCCCAGCTGGGGGTGTCTAGGCAGGACACGTGACTGGACGGCATTCCAGAGCCATCACGTGGCTGGGGGTATGGAGATGGCGGTCAGGAGTGGGTGAGGCAGCCCCGAAAGCAGCCTGTACAAGACAAGAGCCTGGGCAGAGGTGGGGGCCAGGGCAAGGAGGGGCCGTAGCAGCAGATGGGAGAAGGTAGGGTGCAGGCCGGGAGCAGCTAGGTGACATGGGCTGTGGCCCGGCCTCTGCCCTTGAGCTCTGCTGACTGAGGGTTTCTGGTCCTGGGCACTCCAGGTCAGTGCCACGCGTGCATGTGGACTTGCTTTTCTGTGTCCTGCTAGGGACTTGGGAGCTTCTGGAGCCCGAGTCACATCTTACTCATTTGGGAAACGTCTGACCAGTGTCTTTTTGAACATGGACTTCCATGAGGCTGTCATGGGAAGGGCTGTGTCCCCCCAAAACTGTCCATGTCCCACCCCTGGGGAATGCAGCTACAAGTCCAAGACCACCAGCTTCCAGGAGCTGGGAGAGGCAGGAATACCCCCCTGCAGGTTTGGGACGGAGCGCAGCCTGCAGAGCCTGGGTCTGATGTCCAGCCCAAAAGAGGTGAGGCGGCACTCTGCTGTGGAAGCTGCATCGGGGGCCCGGGAGCTCAGGCAGACAGTCTGCCGTGTCATCTTTCTCTGCAGCATCTGGTGATGTTCATGGCTCAGCGACTTCACTTTGCATCTCCCCACCTCCCACCCCTGCAGGGCTCTGTCCCCACAGAGAAGTTCCACCCTCGTCTTCTAGGAACCCCGGCTGTCACCACCCAGGGACGCTTTCTGTGTGATTTTAACTTGGGAGTTCCCGGTGGTGCCCGTGAAACCCCACTGCAGAGGGGGCGGGTGGGCTGCATGGAGACCCCCCACCACTCACCGTGCCTGGCTGGCTGCATCTGCACACAAGCGTCCTCAGTCTCCTCGAAGCCTTCGGGACACACGCAGACGTAACTCCCAGGGGTATTGTAGCAGTTCTCATCTTTTCTCGGACACACTTTTCTCGGCAGCGAGCACTCGTCCACATCTGAAACAGCAAGTCCCCTGAGTGAGTCCCTATGCTTAGCAGATGCACCACAGGTGAGGTTCACTTAGGAGCACGAGGCCCAGAACACCACCGAGGGGGAGGAGCGAGGGGAGGGTTTAACTCCGGTCTCGGAGAAGGACTCTCCAAGGAGCAGGGGAATGCAGGCGGGGAGCCCGGCCCACTCCCTGCCTTTCTCCAGGTGGGTTCCAGCTGGGCCTCAACTGAGGCCATGCCGCCCAGGAGCTGACAGAAAACGTGGGTGCATGAGGCTGGACCAGCGCATGAGGCTGTGGGGCTCGCATTCAGTCACCAGCAGTGTGTGCACCTGGGGCACCTGGGTAGGCCCTTGCGTCCCCACCCACTGCTCCTGCATCTCCTGAGACCCCCAGATGCTTGGGAGGCCTGAGAGGCGGGGTATGCAGGAGAGCTTGTGCCCAGTGTCCCATCCCCATCAGCTCATGGCCGCTCTGCTCTGGTCCCTCTGGGAGGTTCCACCTGTGTCTGGCAGATGTGCACTGACCTGTACACTGGCCGTTCTCTTTTGTGTAGCCGGGGATGCACTCCTTACACTGTCCTGGGCCCTTCCCCGTGCAGCCCACACAGGTGGAGTCACATTCTAGAAATAGGAGGGAGATGGTGACAACAGCAGACTCACCTCCTGGAGACACGCGGGGGCCTGATGCCCAGAACCACGTGTCCCTCATCTGTCCCTCACCTGTCCCGCAAGGGCTCACAGAGCACTTGGAATTTTGGAATTTAAGCCATGATGTCCCCTGAAGAGCTGAGGCCCAGCTTGGAGGTAAACCTCTTGTGGGGACTGTGTAGGGCAGCTTTCCTCAAAACAAACCTCAGGCTTGGTGACACTGCACAACTTGCTGCTAGGGGCTTAGTACTAACAGCGGAAGCTGCAGCGTCTCAAGGTCAAACAGGAAAAGCCCGCATTGTCCCTGACCCCGGGGCAGGCAGCCCTGCACAGGCACAACGGTTCTGGGCACACTGGGGCCCTAATACCCATGTTCCTGACCGAGCAATTTGGAAACTAATCCAGAAAAGCTGTGAGAGCATGAGAACTCCACCGATAAGGGTGTCTATGGTTTGCAACTGGGGAGAACCAGTCTGTTCCAACATCCAGAGTGTGGACCGCTGGGAAAACAGATAACGCCAAGATCATGACCACGACGTGGGAGGTGATGCACAGACAGGGTCACACCGAGGCCCCTGTCCAGCAGACAGGACTGGGAGGAAGCCTCAGGGAGTGAGTTAAATAGTGCCGGCTTCCTCTCCTTGGAATTGGTTTTTTCTATGCTCTTCTTTACAACTTATTCGAATGTTTTGATTTTTCTACAGCAAATGCCCACCACTCGTGTGGCCACCTTGGACTTTGTAAAGTAGGTGGAACGTGCAGTTGCTGAGAAGCCACAGGGATGTTTAAAAGGGAGGGAGTGGAGCTGGCCCCCACCTTCGCAATGAAAAGAGCCGTTGCTGTTCTTGCAGTACTGCTGGGCGCTGCAGGGAGGTGTCTCTGCTGCACACTCGTCCACATCTGGAACCAACGCACAGCTGTGAGTGGCAGCCCCAGCCACCTTCAGGACCACAGAGCTGGTCACCCGGTACAGCCCATGGCCAGGGCTGCTTGGAGAAAGTGGCTGTGTCGAGGACACGCTTTGATGGTCATCCTCGGAGGCCTCCAGGGGTGGGGACTAGGGACCCTTGGTGCCACGAGGTGGGGTCGCCGCGAGGGACCAGTGCTGTGTGAGCACCTGGCTTCCACATGGCCTCACACAAGCCCTGTGTATGGGCCGGGACAGGGTGGGGGTGCTTCCCCCCAACTGGACATGGGGTGCATGGCCCTGACCGGCCTTAGGCCATGCAGCTCTGAGACAATGCCACTGATGCTGTGGTTCAGGAGGGCCGCTGCCTCTACCTGCCGCCCCGCGGCCTGCCTGGGGGCCCGCTGGGTCAGGGCTCCAAGATGCTGCAGGGCTGGTGAGCCTGTGCGCCCGGGCACACTGAAGCAAAGGAAAGGATGCCCCGGAGCAGGTGGCGGCCACAGGCTGGGCGGGCGGGGACAGATGGGAGGCAGGCCCAGGGCCTCAACTCCACGAGGCAGCAGAGCCCCGGGCAGGGGCAGGTCAGGAAGGCAGGGCCTCCTCTGCAGCCAGGTGGATGGACCAGGCAGACACTGTGACTGCAACCTCACAAGAGTGGCTCTCCAGACCAAGGGGAGGTCTGTGACCAGCAGGACCTGCCTGCACTCCACCTGTGCCACTGTTCTGAGTCCCCACTAGTCAGAGACCATGGCTCCTACAACTGTGTCTTTTATGAAACCTGGGCCTGAGCTGACAGGACCACCCCAGGCCACTGACAGCAAGGATGACTGGTGAGGGCCCACCTTCCGAGCCCAGGGTGTAGGCTGTGGAGGGTTGAAGGAAACCACAAGGATCCTTCCTGAAAGCTGCACACAGCATGTGCAACCAGCACACAGCATGTGCAACCAGCCCGTGGGCGAGACACACGTGTAAACCTAGGCCTCCATGCCCGGACCTTACACGTACCGTGGAAGACCAGTCACCTTCCCCATGGGGCTGAGGGTTGAAGGGAGCTCTCCCAGGAAGGGATGGGCAGGCCCCACGGGGCACTGGGAGGATGGGGGCAGGGGGTAGGGGAGGCCAGGCCCAGCAGCAGCCTCACCCATGCAGGCGCCGTCCTCCCGGGTCCAGCCCACCTCGCACTGGACACAGTCTCTGTTGGTGGGGCCCGTGCACAGCTTACAGGACTCGTCACAGGCTAGAAGGCAGAGAGGATGGCAGTCAACACGCAGGAACCCCGTTCTCAGCAAAAAAACAAAGCAAAGGTCAGCTTGGAAGTGAGGAATTTACGTTCAGCAGGACCAGGATAAAAACCGCAGGGAAGGGAGGTTCAGTTAGCGACAGAAAAGGTGCATGTGTGACTCGCAATGTTACGAGGGCTCCCACTGCCCACTAGTGGTAACTCGTCAGCAACAAGGGCAGCGAGGCAGCCATCTACAGCCTGGCTGGTGGGCCCCACTCTGCACCAACTCTGGGCAGGGGAAGGCCCAGGGGGATCGGGGAGCAGCCACACACAGGAACTCATGGGGCAGCAGGGCAGCTGAGCCCAGCTGTCAGCTCCCTGCACGTCAGAAGCCTCCAGTGGTGACAAGGCCACCACTCATGACTACGGCTGTGGATTTATTTTATTTTTTAAAGATTTTTAAAATTAACCTTTAGAGAAATAGGAAGGGAGAGGGGGAGAGAGAGAGAGAAACATCAACTGGCTGCCTCCTACACGCCCCCCACCAGAGATCAAACCAGAAACCTGCGCATGTACCCTGATGGGGAATCAACCCCCAATCTTTCAGTGCACGGGACAATGCTCAGCCAACTGAACCTCACCAGCCAGGGCCAACAATGAATTTACAACCACCCTGGGCAAGTGGTCAGCGTGCGTCAGAGGAGGGCATGCCCACATTACTGAATGGTCAGCATGGTCCACCACAGCTGAGAGGGTCTGTGTAACACACTGAGTGGGGAGCCCAGGTAATGGCCTTTGAAGATCAGACAGCAGCCCTGCACCAGCAGGGTAACCACCACGGTGTGTCCTCTAGAAGGGACCCACGGCGAGGACACACCGTATGGCCTCCAGGTGTTCCAAGTCTCCTCTGTGCCGCCTCCCCATCCAGTCTCTTCAGTGACAGGGGCCAGGGCTTGGTGCTAAGCCTGAGTGACAGTAGGCACCCCGGGCCTCTGCACCCTACATTGCACCCAGGGACACCCAGGAGGGTACTCGAGGGCCAGGAGTCCTGCAGGAGAGCCCCTAGGGGAGTAAGCCCTGTGCCAGAACATGCCAGGCACCAGGTCATGAGAGAAGACCACTGTGGATGTCACAGAACTGCCGACCCCCAGGCCATCTCCAGAAGGGTCAGGAGAAAAGTGAAAGCTATTCAGGGATGGGATGTGCGACCACCATGTGCATCAGTCCTGTCTCTTTCCTTCACATGTCCCTGATGTCTGGGGTAGGAGATTAACAGATCCTTTGTCCCCACTTCCGCAGGGGCTCTGGGAAGGGCCACTCCTGCCACCCAGGCACAGGGCACGCCGCAGTACCTGTGCACACGCTGTGGGTCTCATTCCTCAGTGCGCTGAAGTAGCCGTCCATGCAGTCAGCGCACAGCGCCCCGCGGTAGCCCAGGTGGCACTGGCAGGACCCGTCGCCCTGTCTGCTGCCGTCCCCGCTGCAGTGGCCGTTCCCGCTGCAGGGCCGCTCAGATCCGCCCTGGCACGCTGTGGGGACACACACCACGATCACTGTGCGCCCAAGGAGGCAGCCAGGGTACACCCTCCATGTTCTTACACAGAGAATGCCACTCCACTCACTTGACACACAATCAAAAGAGCCTTTTGGGTCTTTTGCTAAAATCCAAACCCTACTTTACCCCTGAAACTAGTGTGACTCTCTGAGGAACATGTAGCCTGCGAGCTTGGCGAGGGCATCTGGGCAGCCTTCACCTGAAACACGGGAGGGGATGCTCACCTCGGGGGGAGGGGAACCCGTGGGACAGCAAGATGGTCCCCCTGTGACCGCAGGTCACCGGGAAACCAGGAAAGGCAGGCAGGAGGCGGCTTTGGCCAGTGAGGGGGTCTTACCTCGAAAACTGTGTCATGTTATCCGGCTGACCATGTGAGTGACTTGGGTAATGCCCAACAGCAAGCCGTGGCTTAGCCCTGACCCACCCACTGAGGCCGAATGCAGTGTGTGCAGCCCGACAGACGTCCACTGGCCCTGGCCTCTCACACACAGGCCTTTGCTGTCAGTGGAGCTGTGCTGGGGCCACAGATCTCCCCGAGGTAACGTACCAAGGCAGTCTGGCCCATAAGTTCCCGGAGAACAGCAAACTTTCAGCGTTTTCACACAAAACCACTCAAATAAGTCAGGGTAATCCTTCTTCCTAAGGATTTAAGAAGTGCTTGTTTAGCCTCACACAATAGGCTTCTTCAAAGGGAAAACACAGTTTCCTGTAGTACCAGGTGCCCTAAAAGCCCGGAAGGGGCAGCCAGGTGGGAACACCCTCTCCCCGCTAACTTTCTTGTGTTGATCATTACACTAAGGTCATCAAAAGGGGTAACAGGGGTAAGAGAGAGGACAGGCGTGGGGAAGCGCTCTCTACTGCTTTTGTAACGTCTCTAAAACTGAAATTATTTCAAAATTAAAAACTGCCCCGGCCAGTATGGTTCAGTGGTTATAGCATCCGCCTGGGCACTGAAGGGTCAAGGGTTCGATTCCCAGTCTAGGGCATGTACCTGGATTGCAGGTTCAATCCAGGCCCTGGGCACATGGGGGAGGAAACTGATTGATGTGTTTCTCACATCAACGTTTCCCTCCTTCCCTTCCACTCTCTCTAAAAATCAATGGAAAAAGTATCCTCCAGGGATGATTAACGACAACAAAAACAAATTGTTTGTGGTGGTTTCAGTGACCCCGGGAAGGAGCCCTGGACACTCACAGCGACAGCCACCAGGCCTCCAGCTGCTCCTCGTGCTCCTCCACCAGGCGGTTGCATTCGAAGTCGCTGCTCTGGCACAGGCTCTCCACGATCTCCAGGAGGCGGACCTCGCTGCAACGCAAGGCCAGCTCCGGGTCAGCTCCGGGCCAGCACCGGGTCAGCTCCGGGCCAGCACCTGGCCAGCACCGAGTCAGCTCCGGGCCAGCACTGGGCCAGCTCGGGGCCAGCTCCGGGCCATCACTGGGCCAGCACCTGGCCAGCACCGAGTCAGCTCGGGGCCAGCACTGGGCCAGCTCGGGGCCAGCTCCGGGCCATCACTGGGCCAGCACCTGGCCAGCACCGAGTCAGCTCGGGGCCAGCACTGGGCCAGCTCGGGGCCAGCTCCGGGCCATCACTGGGCCAGCACCTGGCCAGCACCGAGTCAGCTCCGGGCCAGCACTGGGCCAGCTCGGGGCCAGCACCCGGCCAGCACCGGGCCAGCTCCGGGCCATCACTGGGCCAGCACCTGGCCAGCACCGAGTCAGCTCCAGGCCAGCACCCGGCCAGCTCCGGGCCAGCACCGGGTCAGCACTGGGCCAGCTCCGGACCAACACCGGGTCAGCTCCGGGCCAGCACCGGGTCAGCACTGGGCCAGCTCTGGACCAACACCGGGTCAGCTCTGGGTCAGCACCGGGTCAGCTCCGGGCCAGCACCCAGCCAGCACCGGATCAGCTCCGGGCCGGCTCCGGGCCAGCGTGTCCCGCAGGGAGGCGCGGAGGCCCCGCCGGGGCCATGCACAGGGCCGACGCCGGGGCGTCAGGGGGCCTCTCCATCCTCAGGGTGACGGCCGGAGCGGAGGGGTCCCGGGAGAAGCCCCGAGCGGGGGCCGCGGGCGGCGCCCACCCACCTGAACTCGTACTTGGACAGCGACTTCTCCTCCCAGGCCGTGTTGCCGCC